GGGATTTAGGAATATGGTTGATAACATCTCTAATGTTTATTTTATAGAGATGATTTTCAGCCATTTTTAGTCAAATTTAGGCTGCTAAGATGGACATAAAGCGAAATCCTATGTCTTCTAAGATGTTGATGGGTAACAAAAATAATATAGTTGAAGTTACTAATTTCTATATATCTATTGTCCACCAATAAAAGCTAGCATGTATAAATTTGTGTCTATACTCTATCAGGGGCCAAGCTAGAAGAAAATAATTGTTGCAGCAAATTTCAATTGTGGGAGCAAAATTTGAAAATTATAAGGATTTTTTTAAAAATCTTGAAAAAGCCTTAGAAAAAATAATATATTTGAAATTTAAAGTGGGCCACTGCCCCACTGTAAATCCGCACCTGTTGGTTAGGGCAATATAAATTTGGTTCAATCTCTTGACCAAGCTTTGATAGCATAACCCAACACGTAGAAAATGGTTGGGGTAACCCAAGAAACTTGAATCGTAAATTCGACATTCAAGCAATCTTCTTTCAATATCTACTACAATCTATGATATTTTCATGATATAAATATCTCCACGATTGGTTTCGAAGACTACAATGGGTTATGATTCACGTAATTTCTTCATTATATTGGCGATACAGTAAGACAACCAAGAAATCCAATAGGGATCATATCTCATATCTGTAGACTCTACTTTGAATATATGGCAACTCAAATTTCGAAAGTTTTAACAAACTCCTAATTCTTACAATGAATCACCGTATTTAAAAACTTTAATTATACGTTTTTCTATCTTCAACCCACCTTTATTTAAAATTAGCCTAAAGGTTAGGTAATAAGTATCCGACCACAGTATAGAACTCTAGAGGAAAATAAAAATAAAATAAAATAAGAGAGAGAGAAAATTACCTCAAATCTTTCTTCTAAAGTTTCTATTTCACAAATCAAGTATTAAGAATTCGATTATGCTACATATACATAATGGTTTATATGCACATGATGTGGTGAGATATGATTAGACTAGAATTTTTTCAACTAAATAATAATAAAAAAATTATTTACTCTCTTTTTGACATTAATTATTATGTAATTTTATTATATACAAGCATCATGATTCTTAAAGAATTTGTTTCCAAAAATCAGGTTTAGTGATTACCCCACCACCTTTCCCACCTAACCCAAAACCGTAGTTTTCATTCAATCAATTTCCCTCTTCACTCCATTTTCCTATTTTTAGGATTATCCCTAGAAATCACCCACCAACCCCCACCCCTATTCACCCACGCCACAAGTGTATATTTCTTTCAATCAGTTTTTTTCAGAATAATACTATATGTACAAAACATTACACCCTCCTCACATGAAGGGGCACATACAATAAAATATTTGTGGACTCCCCCTCATGTGAGGGGGAGTAATCTATTGTGTACATCTTATGGGGTACACATAGAATAATTTATTCTACTTTCCTCTTTTCATGTTTTTTCGTAAAATTCATCTTCTCCACCCACCTCTCTCCACCTACCCCAGAAACGTCGATTTCTTCCGATCAATTTCTTTTTTTAATCCACTTTCCTCTTTCCACATTTTTTCCTAAAAATCACCCATCCTATCGCAGCTCAGATTCCATTTCCATTTTCCCCTTAAGTACGCTATCCTTTTCTTTTCAATGTTATCATGCATTAATTAGTACACAAATTGAATGTGATTTCCCATCGACCATCGATTTTGGGTTCGTTTGGGACTTTTCTGCCTACTGATTTTGGTGGTGGTGTGATAGTGGATTTGGTGTATAAATTTTTGTAAGTTATGATGGTGCGGTGATAGTGGTGGTGTGCAATAGGTGGATGTACAAATCACGATAAAGGTATAGATCTGTGTGGTGGTGGTGATGTTGTGTTAAGGTGGCAGAGGAATTTTTTGTGGTGCCAATGATGGTGAGAGTGGTGGTGTATGGAGTGGATGGATGAAGATTGATCGTGATCAATTATTGAGTAATCGTGACCAAGAAAACAAGTAATTTGTGACTAATAAATAATATGAAACCTAAAAATATATTATCCGCGTCTTTATGATTGATAAATAAGTTGTGACCAATTAACTTGATAATTTATGAACATGTAATGAGTCGTGACTAATTAATTTGACAATTTGTGATCAATAAAATGTTTGATTTGTACTGAATTTACAATTGCAACCCATATTTGTGTTTTTGTAATTATGATGTTTTATGATTTGTCTTGTGACTAGTACGTAAATTATGATCTTAAATTGCATATCATTATGGCCTTAATCTATTTAATTACTTATCTAGTTAATATCACCTGATTTTTTTTTAAAGAAATCCATGAGTATTTTAAGCCCCGTTTGAAAATTATTATTTGGGAAAAACAATGTTTTCAATAACGATTTTAAGAGAATGTATTGTTAAAAATATGAAAAAAAAAATAAGATATATATATAGAATATTTTATTATGTGAATGTTTGATTAAAAATGAGTATGTGAAAGATATTTCAAATAATGATCGTCAAATAGGAGCTAAAAATTAGAAATTGTCACTTAAACCTTGAGAATTATATTTTTTTTTCCATAAGAAAATCCTGGGTCCTTACGACACAAGGACCACTCCATGATGTAAAAGGCGGGGGACCGACGGTGTCTATCAGCCTTGATTAGGCTCTTTCTCAACATCAGATAAACATGGTGCCTCCTTGAGAAGATAGGTAGCATTACAATCATTCAACATAGGGCCTAGTGGCTTGGCATAAGAAAGAAAGGCCTAAGAAAAATAATTAAGGTGCGTTTGACATATTCCACTTTTGTTTTTGTTTTTTTTTTTAATTATACAGGAATTTATTAGAAAGTTATCTTAACTCAATTTTTGTCAGGGCTTTTCTAATTCGACAAAATATTTTAAAAAATTATTCAAACAAATTCAAAATAAGTTTTTTAATCTAAGAATGGACTTTTGACTTTTTGAAAGCCTTGCCAAACAAGCCCTTAAATATCTACAAAATGTAATGATAAATGTCATGACTATATTTAGTAGGTTCGAATTTGACATTATTAAAGAATAAAATTACACGATAAGACTTTAAAACACAAATATAATTCAATAAACGCCTAATAAACTTTGTCGAACTCATTTTAAGTTTTCAATTTTATTTATAATATAGATACGTAATAAACTTTGTTGAACTCATTTTAATTTTTCAATTTTATTTATAAACTTATTTTTTCGAGGACATGTTTAATACGTAATAATTAAAAATAACTCATATGTATATAATTGACTCTCCAAGTAGCCACTCCTCAAATCTCCATTAGAATATTCCAAAAGGCATTTCCTAATAATAAAAATATATAAATAATTTTACTTAATACGCTAGTTGAACTAATTAATAAGAATAAGACAAATAAAGAAACATTTTTATTTTTTATTTTTCACCATCGAAACCTTGAACAAACTAATGAGCTACCACCACAAGATCAATAATCAAACATATCGGCTGAGGCCGCCATGATTGGCTGTTGATTAATGTACATTAAATTCCATGGATTGTTCAAGAACCCATCAGAAAATCCTTGAAACTCGTCAGCCTGGAACACGCAGTTGGTGGCTGGCGGCGGCGGCGGCGCAGTAGTGGCAGCGACGGCGGCTGTGCTGCTGTTGATGTAATTAAGGATTTCATTGAGGGATTGCAGTCTTTGGCTGAGTTCCATCATTTGAGCTCTCAAGACTGAGTTTTCCGCCTCCACATTCATGTATTGCTGTGTGGTGACATTTATTGTTGTAAGAATCTGGTTGTTCTCGTTCTTCAACTCAGTCACTTTAGCCATCATATCATCCAAATGCTTCTGCTTTCTCAATCGGGATCGCCTCGCCGATTCGCGATTCGATTGCATTCTCTTCCTCTTCCTCTGATCCATCAAGCACTGCTGCAAATCTTCTTCAGAGCCCGAGTTCTGAATCTGTATAGACCCTGAAGAATTTCCACTCGAAGAAGCCATTTTTCTTATAACCACACCAAAAGGGATTACTGATATTATTCTTGGATGAAAGAGAGATTAAAAACTTATATGTAGATATCTGTAAGCTAAGCTCTATGTAAGACTCGACTAAAAGCTTATTTATGAAAACACGTAAAACCAGTAGAGGAATACAACGGAGAAAGATTGAACAAGATGAGCCCCGCGTCTTAGGGCGGAATCAATTGTAAACCCAGAACGGAGGATTTCACTGAGTACAGGAGACATGAATCTGAAACATCAAAAACCAATTATGCAGCATAAAGACTATACTAAAATCAAAACCCAGAAATCTGAAGAAGAAGAAGAAGAAGACGAAGAAAAGGCAGGGAAGCAAAATAATAACAGTATATTGGAAACTTAAAATCTAAAGAGAAGATAGAAAAGTGAAGAGGAAGAGGTTATTGAAACTGGGGAAGGGTCTAATTTATAGGGGGAAGGGGTAAATCAAGAAAATTCATGAAAATAGAAAATTGATATTTTAAACGAAAAAGGGAAAAATGGTGGAAAAAGCGGAGGGATTTGGAATCTCCTGTGATAGTTGGTAGGTAGAGTCGTAGAAAGGGGTAGAGGTGGATGACGCATGTGGGGTTGAGAAGATTTTTGAGAGAAGAGCCCAATAACACAGCTGTATGGCTGACTCTGGGCATCGCCAACTACTGAAATCAATGGGTGTGCACAGACAAAATTACGTACCTTGTTTTCATCAATTTTGTCATTTTTTTTTTTAACGAGGTGTCTCAGCTTGCGCCAGACTATATATCCTCGTCCCTGAATCTCCGGCCCCTCAGCTGCTCAGGGAGGTAAATCGTAGGACGTGCCCTTGTTGGTTCCCAAGTTCTCACATGACTTTTACTCCTTCCCCAAAGGAAGCCTCCTCCACGGTGATTAATCCACCAATAATTCCTCCTTTATTGGATCAAAGGTTCCCACCAGAAATCGAACTCCCCACGCTTGGTTCTAGAGCCCCCAATGTGATTGTTCCGCCAACTTGGATGTGCCCTGGGGGGCAAATTTACTTATTGATTGTACGGTGAGACATGTCACATGAACCAGTTCCAGAGATTTTTTTTTTCTTCCTCCAAGTAAAGAGTATTTTTTTTCAAAAAATAATGTGTGATTAAAAAAAGTGAAAAAAAAGTTATGAATACAATAAATTGAAAACAATTTTATAAAAAAATCTCTTCCAAACAACTCAGGAGAGTGACTATTATTTCTTGTTTTGTCAAATGACTTAAATGCTTGTATAGAAAAGATTAATTTTGCTCAAAAAATTACTCACTTTGTTCCATTTATATAGACAATTTTGTTTATAACACATATCTTAGAAATTTTATTTAATGTTATTGAAAATTAACTTTTGCAAAGATTTTTTCTAATTTACCCTGATTTAATTATCAACAATTAGTAGTTAATAATGATTATTAAATGTGTGTTTGTCCATGTTTTCAAGAAGAAGTTGGAAATCTATGTATGTACTTGAATAATTTTAAACAAGTAAATTAAAATCTGTACAATTTCAAAATTAAGTAGGAGAAATTGGTTATAATTAACTAGACAAATTAAATAAGGGTATATTAGTAAACAAATAAAACAAATATTTTTTGAATAAAGACACACATACAAGGAAAACCGACTTATATAAATGTGATTGAGGGAGTGCTTAAAATTTTGGAATAATTGCAGTTGCGTTACCAAACTTTTCATGTTGATTTTTTCGTATCATTTCATTTGTTGTAAACGTCAATTCAACCCTTCCAAACAATTGCAGCCGAGGCTTAAATGAATGGATGACAACAAGTAGGGTCGAGTCGTCAGTGATGGGTGCTTTGAGGAATACTTGCTCGATCGGAGAGTTTTCTTGTTTCTCTTTTCGAGAGTACAAGCCATGGCTACCTAGGGTCCACATTCAAAAGGTGACAATGGGTAGGGTCGGGTCGGGTCGGTCGTCGACGATGGGTATTGCAAGGAATACTGGCTCGATCGGAGGGTTTTCTTATTCTTTTTTTTCGATGAGACGTGATTCCAGCTTGTGAATTGGAGTGAAGAAGATGATTTTGGCGGGTTTTTGGTTTTGGATAGATGGGGTGTGGGGTTGTGAGTGGAGAAGATGAGCACTTTTCTTTTCTTTTTTGAAGGGAAAATGTGTAATACCCAAATTGCCCTTATCTTATTTGGATTTAATTGTTATATTTTTCATTTTTGGGGGCAACTGACAGCTTTGGTGGTCAAATAGATGATAAGCATCATTTTGAACTCCAAATGCGAGATTTTTAAAGATTTGGTATATCCGGTGGCACAAATGAGAGGTTAGGATCAAGTCTACTAATAAACGAAAGGTTTAGTACCTTTGTTGCAATTTTCCCTAAAATTTATTACGTTTGCTTATTTCTTGTAATTAACTTTGATCTTTTGTGATACTGTTAAAATTTTATTCATTATTCTGTATAATATTAATTAATAATGTGTACGAAATATACTCTTAATAATTAAATAAAATAGCTGCATTTAACAGACATTACCACAACTTTGACTTAATTGCTCTCCACTAAACTCAGTAACCTGAAAAGGAGACCACAAAATTTAATTATTAGACAGCCTCTGCCTTAATGGCTGGCCACATGCTTTCATTATCCCATATTCATGACATTAATTACTCTTCTAAAGCAAAAGGTATAAATTAATATTTTTTATATTATCTTTATTTTAGTTCTTTTTCAGTTTTGTAATTTATCGTCGATGAATTCATGCTGGATCGAGACTTCATCGTGTTGCACTAACTTCAAAAATAAAATTAAGAGTACCTCAAATAATAAAACCATTTATTGTTAAGACATTTCGGTCAATAGTTTGTGAATTAATTCGTTGAACTTCTTAGCATCTTTTTGCCATCGTCAATACCAAATTGTTTTAGTTACCTACATTTTTAATCCTTCTAACTTTCAATTAAATTTTTCCAAAAATAAAAAATAAAAAAATACAATGTTGACGGACTCTCGACTTTCCTAGTATGTGTAACATTGTAAGTAGTGTTCTAAAAAGCCCACCTAGGCACATGACATGTCTGGGCGTCTACCTTTTTGTTTTAAAAGTTATATTTTCGCGTTTTGAAATCTAGGCCAACAAAATGCTCAATCATTGAAATACAAAAGGCAAACAGGTCCCAAAAAAAAAAAAAATTGATCCTAGCACAAATCCAACTCGCGACATAGTTTTCTCTGTCCACAAAAAAGGTATTATTAATTTGATATGTATATAATTTTGAAAATTATATTTTTATTGAAAACTTGAAAATACGTATAAAATTTTAAGATACGTATTATTTTACTTATTTATTGATTTAGAATAATTAAAATATTAAAAACAAAGAAATATCTTATTGTGTCTAGACAAATACACAAAGATTTGATGCTTGAGCTCCCTGTTTACAAAAGACTGCTTATATAGAAAAATAAAATTGAGTCTCCTAATTGATATCATTCTGAAGTCAGTTAGTGGGATTTAGGAATGTGGTTGATAACATCTCTAATGTTTATTTTATAGAGATGATTTTCAGCCATTTTTAGTCAAATTTAGGCTGCTAAGATGGACATAAAGCGAAATCCTATGTCTTCTAAGATGTTGATGGGTAACAAAAATAATATAGTTGAAGTTACTAATTTCTATATATCTATTGTCCACCAATAAAAGCTAGCATGTATAAATTTGTGTCTATACTCTATCAGGGGCCAAGCTAGAAGAAAATAATTGTTGCAGCAAATTTCAATTGTGGGAGCAAAATTTGAAAATTATAAGGATTTTTTTAAAAATCTTGAAAAAGCCTTAGAAAAAATAATATATTTGAAATTTAAAGTGGGCCACTGCCCCACTGTAAATCCGCACCTGTTGGTTAGGGCAATATAAATTTGGTTCAATCTCTTGACCAAGCTTTGATAGCATAACCCAACACGTAGAAAATGTTTGGGGTAACCCAAGAAACTTGAATCGTAAATTCGACATTCAAGCAATCTTCTTTCAATATCTACTACAATCTATGATATTTTCATGATATAAATATCTCCACGATTGGTTTCGAAGACTACAATGGGTTATGATTCACGTAATTTCTTCATTATATTGTCGATACAGTAAGACAACCAAGAAATCCAATAGGGATCATATCTCATATCTGTAGACTCTACTTTGAATATATGGCAACTCAAATTTCGAAAGTTTTAACAAACTCCTAATTCTTACAATGAATCACCGTATTTAAAAACTTTAATTATACGTTTTTCTATCTTCAACCCACCTTTATTTAAAATTAGCCTAAAGGTTAGGTAATAAGCATCCGACCACAGTATAGAACTCTAGAGGAAAATAAAAATAAAATAAAATAAGAGAGAGAGAAAATTACCTCAAATCTTTCTTCTAAAGTTTCTATTTCACAAATCAAGTATTAAGAATTCGATTATGCTACATATACATAATGGTTTATATGCACATGATGTGGTGAGATATGATTAGACTAGAATTTCTTCAACTAAATAATAATAAAAAGTTTCTTCACTCTCTTTTTGACATAAATTATTATGTAATTTTATTATATACAAGCATCATGATTCTTAAAGAATTTGTTTCCAAAAATCAGGTTTAGTGATTACCCCACCACCTTTCCCACCTAACCCAAAACCGTAGTTTTCTTTCAATCAATTTCCCTCTTCATTCCATTTTCCTATTTTTACTATTATCCCTAAAAATCACCCACCAACCCCCACCCCTATCCACCCACGCCACAAGTGTTTATTTCTTTCAATCAGTTTTTTCCGAATAATACTATATGTACAAAACATTACACCCTCCTCACATGAAGAGGTACATACAATAAAATATTCGTGGACTTCCCTCCATGTGAGGGGGTGTAATCTATTGTGTACATCTCATGGTGTACACATAGAATAATTTATTCTACTTTCCTCTTTTCATGTTTTCTCGTAAAATTCATCTTCTCCACCCACCCCTCTCCACCTACCCTAGAAACGTCGATTTCTTTCAATCAATTTCCCTTTTTAATCCACTTTCCTGTTTCCACATTTTTTCCTAAAAATCACTCATCCTATCGCAGCTCAGATTCCATTTCCATTTTCCCCTTAAGTACGCTATCCTTTTCTTTTAGATGTTATCATGCATTAATTAGTACACAAATTGAATGTGATTTCCCATCGACCATCGATTTTGGGTTCATTTGGGACTTTTCTGCCTACTGATTTTGGTGGTCGTGTGATAGTGGATTTGGTGTATAAATTTGTGTAAGTTATGATGGTGCGGTGATAGTGGTGGTGTGCAATAGGTGGATGTACAAATCACGGTAAAGGTATAGATCTGTGTGGTGGTGGTGATGTTGTGTTAAGGTGGCAGAGGAATTTTTTGTGGTGCCAATGATGGTGAGAGTGGTGGTGTGTGGAGTGGATGGATGAAGATTGATCGTGATCAATTATTGAGTAATCGTGACCAATAAAATAAGTAATTTGTGACTAATAAATAGTATGAAACCTAAAAATGATATGCGTCTTTAT